GGAATTTCTGTATCATTATGAAAGGACACAGGGCAATTGGTAATTGGATACTTTTTCTCCACTGCTTGATGGAGAATATGTGCCTCTCTGGGCTTATAGACAATTCAAGCTTAAAATTCAGGTTCGTGGGCGTGTCATCTAGCATCACTAGAGGGTCAGCAGGGGGTGGTGGGTGGAGCCTCATTTTGCCCACCCACTCATTTAGAAGAGATTATTTGGGACTTCGGTTGTTTTAATCAAGATGCCCGCCACACTGCTGGTGGCCAAAGCTCTGTGTGTGCTCCCTGGCCCTCCCCTGCCCCAACACATGCAAGCACGTGTACTCCAGGGTCCCTGTTAGGTCCCATCATCTCCATTCCTGCCCATAAGCCTTTGCAAGCAGACACATGTTCCCCAACAGCTTCCCTTAGGGAGCAGAGAGCAGGGAAATGTGCTCTCCTGGTATCTGGGATTATTATAAGACAATGTTGCAATAGAAATCTCTGTCTCTCTTTTCTCTCTCTGGTAATCTCTCAGCTGCATCAACAATTGTCTCTCCTCTGGTCTCTCTTTTGACTCCCAACATTGCCTCTTAGATTCCTTGGAGAGGTTGGCCAAGAGTCCTAGGATTAGAGGGAAATGATGGCGCCTGGTTCAGTACCATGGACAGTGAGCGGCCCCGCCTCTCCCCACCCTGCGTGGCAGTCACTGTGCAGGTGGCTAAGGTGGAGGCCCGGGCCTGATGCAGCCTAGAATCTGGCCTCCCTCGCCCCGGGGGGAAATACCAAAGCATCAGTCTTTGTTGTCAAGTTCCCTCAGACCCAAATCCCTTTGGTTTCAGATCTGGCTATTTGCAAACCAAAAGCCTGTTCGACCCACGAATTCCAGAAAATTGTCCCCATATTTTCCTCTGCACCATGTGTTGACAAACCCTGTGGGACTTTTCCTCTTTACTGAGCAGACAGAAGGTGACCTGGGTGATAAAAGATGTCTTGGAATCAGATTCTAGAGGCTGGGGAATGACCACTTAGAGACCCACTCAGAGCAGTAGACTTCTCAGTAGAACTAAGCCACTCTGGACAAAGCCTCCACCTGTACCCTGAGTTGGATCAGACTGGCAGCTGCCCCCATTTGCACATAGAGAGAGCAGAGTGAGCCTCCAAGAGGGTCCCTTTGCAGTCGGGTCATCCTCGGGAATGACCTCCTGACCCCAGCCCATTTGGGGGGCACTGGAGAAGTCTCAGGCTGGGCCCCTGTCTCCCTTCCAGTCCTTCTTCCACACGGTCCTGGAGAACAGCCCCCACTGTGACACCATGGTGGACAACAACCTGCGCATCACCAACTGGAACCGCAAGCTGGGCTGCAAGTGCCAGTACAAGCACATCGTGGACTGGTGCGGCTGCTCCCCCAACGACTTCAAGCCGCAGGACTTCCACCGCTTCCAGGTGAGCCCGCTGTGCCCCCGCCAGCCCCCCAAGCCTCGCCTTGCCAGCAAACCTCTGCAGACATCCAAGCCCGCATGCCCAACCCTGGCTGTGGATGATAATGGCAACAGCATCAACAATAGCCAATATTTATCGAGCATGTACTCCACGCCAGGGCTTTTCTAACCACTTTATATTGACTCTTTAACATCACAACAGCCATTTAATACATGCATTATTATTTATTATTATTCCATTTTAGAGATAGGGAAACGGAGGCATAGAAAGGTCAACAAGCTTAAAGTGTCTGTTTCCAAAGGCCATGCGCATATCGTTTCTTCTCAGTCTGAACCCTCTTGTTAAAAACATATTTCTGGGTACAAGCCTGATTATATCTTGGGCAGAGTTTTCCAGCCTCAGAACTCCTGACATTGTGGTCGGATCATTCTCTGTCGTGGGGGTGTCCTGTGCATTGCAGGGGGTTCAGAAGGGCCCTAGGGCCTTTGCCCACTGGACACCATTAGCAATCTGCACCTGTGACCACCAAAAATGTCCTCAGACATTGCCAAGTGTCCCCTGGGGACAGACCCACCCCTGGTTGAGAAGCCCTGATCTCCGGGGAAGTCCAGGAATTTTTAGTCTATTGCCCTTATTATTATTTGTAGTATATCACACTTTAGGAAATTCTCCTGAGCAGCCGGGCTTGGAAACCGCTGCACTCTGTGTGCTTAAAGGAGCAACAAGAGGTAGAGATGTTATCACCGTCACAGCTGCCTCTGTGCAGCCCTAGAATGTGCCGTTCTGGGGAGAGCAGAGGTAGGAGGGTGGTGGGTACTCACCTGCTTGCCGTGAACCCCGAGGATGCCTCAGCCCACAGGTCCTCTCCCAGGCGACAGCCTCTTTCCACCCTGCGTGGGCGCCCCTCTCGCGCTGCCCGGTGGCTGGGAGGGGAGGGGCTCCCTGAGTGTCTCTCCCCTCTCTTCCTCGCACACCCGGCCCCAGCTGCGGAGAGCTCAAACGGAACACTACGGAACGGTTAAACTAATCCCTCTGGGGTCGCTAGAGCTTCCACAGGGACACGGCGTGCTGCTTCCCAAACCGCTAACGCGGAGGGAGGGCAGGGACGACCAGGACAGCGGTGCCAGGCTGATAACCCGGCCAAGGCGTCCTGCACCCGCACTCTGGCACGTAACTGAAACGTCCAGGAAAGGACACGTGCTGCCTGCTTGGAGCTTCCAGCCGCTTGGCCTGGCTCCTCGGGATGTCGGCCACAAACCAGAAGCATCACTGTCACCAGGGCACTTGTTAGAAATGCAAACTCGGCCCATTCCAGAGCTACTGAGGAAGAATCAGATCAATTAGCAGGGTCCCCAGATGCCTGGGATGCTATTCACGTTAGATCTGCTCTGTACCAGGCCCCGCGTGGGCATCGGCTTCACTGGGGTGGACACCACCTCCACCGTGCGAGTGGGGAAACTAAGGCGCAGGGGGTGGACTTGCTTGCCCGTGGCCACACAGCAGGGAAGTGGTAGGGCTGGGGGTGTGCAGACGGCAGCTCTGGTGTTTCCGGCTGCAGGCTGGGTTTTTCCACCAGGCCTCGCTGCCATCCTGGTTTTGCGCCTACACAGGTGCGGCAGGGTTCGTCCTGTCACTCCTATTGCCCCAAAGCTCCCACCCGGCATGTGTAGCCACCTGCAGTGTTTGCTGCAGTAAGTCTTCTGTAGGCCCGTTTTCGGTGGCGGATGGAGAGATACCCAGGGATCGCCTCAAACCCGTGCTAATTTCGCCATGAACTTGGATGACATTTTAGCTCCCCGTTGTCCATGCAGAAAGGATCTGCTGAGCAGAAAGAGGGTGCAGAGGAATGTTTGACTTATTCAAAAGGAAAAAAGAAAGCTAATTCCCACCTTTGCAGAGAACCAGCCGTTGTGCCGGTTGCGGGGGACCTGCAGCACTTGCAGCCTAGAGCCTCCACCTCGTGAGCCCTGGGAGCCCGGTTCTGCCCCAGCGGCAGCATCTGTATTCTAGCCTGGCGTCCTGGGGACACTGCGGTCTCTGATAAAGACTGGGAAACAGAGAGACCGCATCATGTGCTTCCAGCTCTTTCTCTCACCGTAAACAACGGACAAGAATATCCCCCGACATCCAGAATCAAGAAATTGCTGCCTGTAAGGAACTGGGAGTTCTTGTGCAAAGAACTCTGAGGAAAAGAACAATAAATATAGAAACGTGCCCTTTTAGAAGATCTGGCTATGGTCAGAGAATCGCTGGCGGAGAAAGGAGGCTGCTCTGCCACCAGGGCCGATTCTCTGCCCCCAGAAAATGAAGACTCATAGGCCCCTAGGTAGGCAGGAGCCTAGTAGAAAACTTAAGGGGCTGGTGATAATAATCACATAATATTAATAAAACCGGATACACAATGTGTGCCAGACCCTATGCTAATAACCTGTATTATTATACCCATTTTAAGGATGAAGAAGCTGAGGCCCAGAGAAGTTGAGTGACTTTCCCAAAGACATACACAGCTAGAAAGGACAAAGTGAGATCTGAACGCAGGTGGTCTGACTCTCCTTAGTGCCACTGTAAAGGAACCAAGCTGACTTCTGCCTCATAGGGAGGGGGGCCCCAGCCTTCATGAAGCAGAGAGGTGGTGAGATGTTTTGTTCACTCAGTTAGCTCAATCCTAGAGTAGAAAGAGCTTGGGTTTTGCAGTCGTCCGTTCTGGGTTCAAATCTTACAACTGCGTGAGTTTGTACATGTCACTTTCCCTCTCTGAGCTCAGTTTCCTCATCTGAAAATGGGAATAATAATACCCGCCTTGCTGGGTCGTTGGGAGAGTTAGAGGTGATGACATAAACGCAATGCCCCGTGTACAATGTGTGCTCAGTAGTTATTGTTGCCGTTAATTCACTGCAGTGAAAACAGTGCTGGCCCCAAATTCAGGTCAATAATGATGCTAGACCATAATAAGCTCCTCAAGGGAGAGG